ACTCTGCTCTAGCACGGCAGCCTCTCTCTCCTACACAAGACCAGTCTCCCTTCAGCCCAAGGACAGTCATCCAGGCCTGAGAATGCCCCTTCCTCCTTAGGACAGACTTAAAAAGTCACTAGTTAAGGCAAGCCCTTTTGGACCTTCTACCAAGATGGGATCAGGTCCCCACACCCCATATTTCTCCTTCATGACACTTGTCACAATTAACTTAAAGGCCTACTGTATGATCCTTTGTACATTTGTTTACAATTTTACTGTAATTTCATAAAGACAGAGTCCTTTTCTACTTTATTTCACTACTATAATCATAGTTTCTTGCACAATGTTTGTTATAGAGCAGAAGCTCAGAAAAGGAGAAAAGGTGGGTGAATATTATTATGAAGAACATTAGGTACCTTCACAGACGTATTCATCTGACTTCCCACACTCACTCAGGTGATTATTACATCCTTGCTTATAAAGCAACAAACTGAATTCTATTGAGCTTACATGATTCATCGAAGGCATCAGGATATTAGGTATCAGGACTTGAAGTCAGGGCTCCAATATCTACATGATGGTATTTTCATGAAAAAAAAAAAAAAAAAAATCCTGGGACCCAAAAACTTCTGTTCACTTATATCTCTGCAGCCACTCTATTCTTTGCCCCGTTTGTCACCATTTCTTTAGTTTTATCAAATTCACAAGCACATAAATTCCTATCCTTAAGTTACTAAAAAATAAAAAAAATGAGGAAGCCTGTTTCTTCACTTCAAGGATCCCACAGTTTGTTAAAGAATAACTCTCCAACATTGAATTTGTTGGGGCTGCTCCAACTGTAAATTACAGAAACTCAGCTAAAATTGGTTTTTGCAAGAAAGGACATACATTGGCTAACATAATCCACACAGTTTATATGTAGTCAAGCTTCAGGCATGGATGTATCCAGGGGTCCAGTATTCTAATGTAAGAGAAAGAGTGAGGAACAACCTCTGAGCCAGGGGGTGATGCTCATAGTGAACTCAAGGTAGACTCTGTCCCCTGAGTGGGTGGGGAGGACTGTTGATGGGAAAAAGGCTTTTGGTAAAAGACAAGATTTCATCTTTTTTTTAAAAAATAAATGAGTAGTATTCCATTGTGTATGTATGTGTGTGTGTGTGTGTGTGTGTGTATGTATATATGTTTGTGCCTCACACATATAAACATATATCACATATGTCTTTTGTTTTAAAAGATTTACTTATTTATGCAAGCACTGAGGTACAGGCCAGAGGCGCGGGATGGTGAGAGAATTCACCAGAGACAGAACAGGGAGCAGAACAGGCAGAAGGACTGAAGTACACTGCTGAGGGGAGCAGCAGGTAGGACAGGAGAGGTCTGCCGTGCCATGTGGGTATCTCCCTGGCCAGCCGGGAATGGAACTGGCGCTGCAAAGGCTGCAGACAGCTTCACAGCACTGTGCTCAACCTGCTTTGCCACAGGGGAGGCCCTATATCATATCTTTTTTTTTTTATTAGATTTATTTATTTATTTATACAAGCACTGGGTACAGTCAGAAGCACAGGAGGGTGAGAGAATTCACCAGAACCAGAGCGGGGAGCAGAACAGGCAGAAGGACTGAAGTACACTGCTGAGGGGAGCAGTGGGCAGCAGGAGAGGTCTGCACGCCATGTGGGACCGTCCCCTGGAGGCTGGGGAGCAGCTGGGGATTGAACCGGCGCTGCAGAGGCTGCAAGCAGTTTTGCAACCCAGCGCTCAACCGCTGCGCGACCGGGGAGGCCCATATCATATCTTCTTAATCCATGTAGTAGCAAATGATGTGTGTGTGCCCACACATGTGTGTATTTCACATCTTCTTTATCCATTCATCCATAGATGGACACTTAAGTTGTTTCCACATCTTGCCTTTTATGAATAATGCTACAATGAACATAGGAGTGCAGATATCTTTTTGAATTAGTGTTTTCGTATTCTTCAGATAAATACCAAGAAGTGGAATCACTGGGTCATATGGTATTTCTAATCTTAATGTTTGAGCTAAATCTATGCTGTTTTCCCTAGTGGCTGTACCAGTAAACAGTACCACTAACTGTGCAAGGCTTCCCTTGTTTTCTACATTCTCACCAACACTTGCTGTTTCTTATCTATTTGATAATAGTCATTTTATTTACATTTTAACTGAAATTGTAAGCAGAACAGCAAGGAGCAACCTCTGAGCCCGCGTGCAGCGCTCATCCACTCATGGCCAACTCAATAATAAAAGGTGGAGCTTTTCACACTTCACCCAAGCAGATAGGAGGAGGGGTTGGCTGATGGAGAAAGGTGGTGGAGCTGAGACCTTCAGGCAATTAAATTGCTGGGGCTTTTGGACAATTAAGCTACTGGGGGTTGGCTGTCACTAGTGAGGAGAGGTGTCTGTGCAGAAGCTGGCAGTTTGCCACATACAGCTTCAGGTTGGACCTCCGTCTCTGCTCAGCAGATGCTATCTGGAGTAGCCCTCGCCTGTAAATTATCTCTCTCTCTCTCTCTCTCTCTCTCTCTCTCCCCCTTGTCTTATTCCCTGTGTATATAAAACTTGTAATTGTTTCTCACTGTGTGTCTGCTTTTGGGTCATGTACTGTGTTCTTAAGCATGGTGGTGAGACCCACCAACGGGGTCAGCCCAGTTCCCCTGTTTGCTCTGTTTCAATAAGAGGTAACATCTCATTAAGGCTTTGATTTGTATTACCTTAATGATGAGTGATAATGAACCTCTCACGAGTCTGTTGGCCATCTGAATATCTTCTTTGGTGAAACATCTATTTAGATACTTTTTCCATTTTTCAAATTGGTTGCTCATTTTTTGTTATCCCATTTTATCAGTTCTTTATATATTTTGGATATTAATCCCTTGTCAGATATATAATTTGAAAGTTGTTGATTTTATTCTTGACCAGTGGGAAACATGGTCTAAGGCTGCTCCAGGCTCACGGGGTTCTTAGTGCCTGCTATGTCAGAAAGAGGGAGCCTCTATCCTCAGAGCTGGTCATCAGTCCCGCTTGCATCAGGAGCCTCCCCCTGAATCAATCACTGTGGCCCAGAGGATGACGTATTCTGGGGACAACACATCCATTTAGTGTTCAACAGATTCATTTAGTGTACCACATCCATTTAGTGCACCACCAAGCTATATGAACCCTAAAGGAGAGAGAAGAGTTCTTGAAGAGAAATTGGCATGTCATTACAGAAAGCAGGGGAAAGTCTGAGATTCACAGTACACTCCCTCTTTTGGTTTCCTGCCCTCACCCACTCCTTTCCTTAGGCCTCCTTATTCCGGGTTGTTCCTGTCTTCCTGGCTTTGCACTTGCTGATCCTATGCTGGGAATCCCCTCCTCCAGATCTTCATGGACTGATTTTCTCACACTTCAGATCTGTTTTACCATCACCCTCTCAGGAGGACTTCTCAGTCCCCTCCTCACTTTTCTCTCAAACACCATCTTGTTTATTTGCTAGTCGAATGGTGTCTGAATTACTTATTACTTTGTTTACTCTGTGTTTTCTCTCATCAGAATGTGAACTCTCTCCAAACAGAGATTTCCAGCTATTTTTTTCATTGTTCAATCTGCAAGTTCAGAACACTGCCCAACACAAAACAAGATCTCTGCAAATATTGGTTGGATAAATGAAAGGCATCTATGGTGTATCTAATGAGAGACCATGGGGAGCTTTATAGAGATGTCCCTTAAAAAAAAACGGATTTTTTTTCTTGTAGTAAATATATATAAAATTCACCATTTTAACCATTTCTAAGTGTAAAATTAATGGCATTAAGTACATTTACTTTGTTTTACGATCATTGCCTCTCCTCTATCCATTTCTAGAACTTTTTCATCTTCCTAAACTTAAATTCTGTTCCCATTCAACACTAACTCCCTCCCCGTTCCTTCCAGCATTCTGGAGACCACCATTCTACTTTCTTGTCTGTATGAACGTGGTGACTCTAGGTACCTCACGCAAGTGAAATTGTACAATATTGATGTTTATGCTTATTTCTATAACATTTCCAAAGTTCATCCATGCTGTAGCATGTGTCAGAATTTCCTTCCAAGATTGAACAATATTCCATTGTATGTACATCGTATTACTTTATCCATTCATCTGCTGCTGGATACTGGGTTACTGCCATTGTTGGTGGTTGTGATTAGTGCTTCTGTGAGCACAGATGTGCAAGTATCTGCCTGCATCCCTGCTTTCAGTCCTTTTGGGTGTAGGCTCAGAAATGGAATTGCAGGATCATATGGTAAATCTAGGCTTAACTTTTTTAAAAAAAAGTTATTTATGTTTGCATACAAGAACTGGGGTACAGGCCAGAGATGTTGGGGGGGGCGGTTAGAGGATTCACCAGAGACAGAGTGGGGAGCAGAACAGGCAGATCGACTGAAATACACTGCTGAGGGGTGCAGCGGGCAAGACAGGAGAGGTCTGCTGCACCATGTGGGTCACCTCCCTGGCCAGGATCTAACTCATACTGAAAAGTGGCTGCGGATAGCATCATAGTGCTGCGATGTAACCTCTTGTGCCACCAGGGAGGCCCTATGTTTAACTTTTTGAGGAACCACCGAACTGTTTTTCACAGTGGCTATGCTATTTTATATCCCCACCAGCAATGCACGAGTGTTCCAATTTCCCCACTTCCTCGCCAACACTTATTTTTTTGGTTTTAGGCTACAACCATCCTAATGGGTGTAAAAGAATGTGAAATTTTGAGCAGTGGAGGAGGGACAAGCCAGCCTTTCAGGCAACAGAGGCCTGGAGAGGCTACTGTATGAGATGGATTTGGTCACACATAGAGTGATGTGACAATGAAAGTGGAGTTATGTTTACCTCCCTTTCCTGGAAATAAACAGATTCTGTAGAGTATTGGAGAGCCCTGTCTACCAGTACCTTTCAAGGCTGTCAGGGTTCTTATTGGCTCAGATGTGTTGGGACACTAGCGTTCATTGTGAGAGAGGGTGAGGCAGGGACAGGGCTTCAAATCACAATGACCCAATCACAGTGACTGTGACCAAGCCAGCCTCCATCATGTAGGTGAGGGTCCATCACAAAGTTGGGCGTGGCAGTGGCACATGAGACAGGACTCTGCATGCATCGGGGACCTGGAGTTGGAAGCATAGGAGCGTTATCGTCCCATGGTAGAAGGAAGGGTAAGTGCAATTTGCACTGAATCTGAAGCTGACCCCAGCCCCAGGAGAGCAGCTGTCTGCACAAAAAGGAATGGGCATCAGGGTCAGTTGAGGTGTGGCGACTACCCTGCTGGCCCATAGCCAGCTGAATGGGGTGGGTCTCTGGGCATGGTTCTCATGAAATGAAATGGAATCATTCAAGAACTTGGGGTCCATGTACACAGAATAGGATGAGCTCAGAGAACTGGCCAGTTCCACAGGCAGTAAGGTCTCTCTGCTAGGATTTAGAGCTGGAAGGCAAGGCGCAGGGTTGCACTGATGAACTGCTAGAGTTCCACTAGGAATGCAGAGCCTCACAGCTTTTTTCACTCTGGCTACCCCCAATTCTACTAGAAATCATGGTTGGTGCTTCTGGATCAGAGTGTCTGGACTCTGCTTCCTCTAGGCAGTTCAAAGCCCTGGTCAGAGGGTAAGTCAGCAGCTCTGGCTCTAGAGCCCACCTGAGCACATCTTCCTAACTTGGCATTGGTGACATTATGTTGACATTTTGAAAGAGGCCTTGCTGGGAACATTTATACTGCAGAGATTGGCAAATAAAATAGGCCTTATTTGCCCCCACAAGGAGATTGTTAAACATTTCTTAGCACAGCACTTACACTGTTATCAGACAGATAGCACCTCTACTACAGATTTACCACTGCTTGAGCCTTAAATCTGATGTTGTCAATAGCTCTAGCTCCTCCTAAACCCTGCTCCAACCCCTTTGTCCCAGGGCCCCCCGCCACCAGCCCATGTATCCCTGCTGCCACTGCCAACTTCTGGATGATGAATGTGAACTGAGGAAAGGGACTAGCCAATCATGCTTTGTTGGCACAAATTTGGGGACTGTGCCTGTTTACCCCACCTGTAGCAGAAGCAGGACTAACCCTCTTTTCTGTGTCCAGGTGTGTTGCCATGGCAGGTGTGGTGTACCCCAAACAGGTGAGTGTTGTGACTTTCTGTCTCCTGAAACTATCTCAGGGCTGGGCAGGTTTAACCACAGGTGAGAATCTGGCTCTTTGAAGCTTCCTCTGCTCATCATTCTGGAGTGATGGTTTTTTTGGAACCTGGCAGAGGAAAATTAGGGGTTTATAATTTTCTGGACATTCTTGACTTAATCATCATGCATTTGTTAGGCATCCTCAGTGTGCCAGGCACTGTGCTGGGCTTGGAAGCTACAGAGATACCTAAGATTAAGTTCTGAGCTAGGACTTCCTTAAGTCAATTACCACACACCATGATAAGTGCTCTAATGAGGGAGGTAGAATATTTTAGGCAAGCAAAGGAAAAGAGTTTCGTTTTGGGGAGGAGGAGAATGAAAGGGTGGGGGAGATATATTTGAGGAAATGACATTTGACCTGGGTTTTTAAAAATATTTATTTATTTATGCATAAATAACTGGGGTACAGGCCAGAAGTGTGGGGGGTGAGAGGATTCACCAGAGACAGAATGGGGAACAGAACAGGTAGATGTACTGAAATACACTGCTGAGGGGAGCAGTAGGTGAGATAGGAGAGGTCTGCTGTGCCATGTGGGTCACCTCCCTGGCTGGGGATCGAACTAGTGCTGCAGTGGCTGTGGACAGCTTCACAGTGCTGCATCTTAACCCCTTGCGCCACCAGGGAGGACCCTGATATGGGTTTTTGAAGGGTAAGAATTTGCTAGTTGGTGAGGAGTACAAGTCGCATTTCTAGGAGGAGATAAGAGCATGTGCCAGGCATGTGGGAAGTGAGGCCAGAGTACAGAGGGCATGGACCCAGGAAGCCAAGGGGGTAAGATGGTAAAGTCTAGTAAGTCATAAAGGGCTCTAACGCCTGGCCCAAAATTTGACCCTTGTCCCACAGGCAACGAGAAGCCATTGAATGTCTTTAAGTGATAGAACGTCTTGTTTTGTGTTCCTCTTTGTCCTCTAGTCCCCTGTGGATTTAGACATATACCAAAGCTCCTACATGGTTGACTATAAACCCTATGGGAAGCACAAATACTTGAGAATTACACCAGAAGAGGTAAGAGGCCACTCAGTCTTGTCTTCTGTCCAATTGCTTAGTGAAATCACCATTTTTTCATTTTTATTGTAAGGGTGGATATTTAGAAGAATATCCAGTGTCAGGCAATCTAAGATTATGATCTAAGATCTAAGATTTATGATCTAAGATTCATAAATGATCTATTTGGTTCCCTCTAAATAAATTGTTCTGGCTTGCCTTTTTCCAACTTTATTATATATTGGATTTTTGGTGATTTTCATTTTTTGTTGAGTATTACGGCATATTCTTTATCTTCTGCTGTTTAGTATTACATTGGATGACTATGCCATAATACATTTGTCTGTTCCGTCAGTGGACATTTGGGTCATTTACCATTTTTGTTTCTCCTCCTGCCTCTAAATGCTGCAATGAGATGGGGCACAGCTAACTGTGCCAGAGCTCGCCCCTCCCAGCAGTGGGTTTGCTCTTCATGGGTGACATCACTGTTTTGCAATGTAGACGCTTCCATTGATTTTCTTGGCAACACAGAGTTGCCCCCTGTAGGACTCCAGTCTGGCCATTAATTCACATTGTCAAATTTTGAAAAATTTTGCCAATTTTATGGATTTGAAATAACATATGCCTAAGGTCATGATTTTAATTTCACTGGATATCATGAGGTTGGATAAATTTTCACTTATTTATGGATATTTATTATTCTGTGAAATAACTGTTCATATCATTTGTCCATTTTTCTACTGGGTTGCTTGTCTTTTTCTTATTAAGTTATAGGAATTCTTTAAATATTCAGTTATGTACATGGCTCAATGCTTCTCCAGTTACTCTCTTTCAGTAAATAGAAATTCTTATTAAAATGCCTTTATCATGTGCTCTTTTGAAGTCTTGTTTAAGAAATCTTTTCCTTTCCTGAGATATCACCACTAAAAATAAGATGATCGCTACCAATCAAGATGGAACAATTCCTGGGATATGTTATTTAGTGGAAGCAAAGTGTGGAGTGGCTTTATAATACATATCACTTATGTACAAGCCAGGAGGGTGGAGATATACATTTATGTTTATATGTATATAAAGTATTTCTAGAAGGATACAAAAATCACTGATGACAGTGGTTGCCTCTGAAGATGGGGTCCAGGGAGGAGAACTGACTTTTCCTTAAAAACCCTTTTGAGCATTATTTTAGTATCTCCCTCTGCTGTAATGGAAATGGTAATAAATTGTCATTCCACAACTAATTTAAATTTTAAAAAAGGAAAGGGTTTTGGGTACTTTCGAGTTACTTCTGTCTTGAGCGCTTCTTGGAAAGCTGCATCTTCTACTTCCCTCAGTCCTCCATATCTATATGATTTGTCTCCACAGCAAGTAAAGGTGGACACCCAACTCCGGGCCAAAGAGTTCTATAGACCCATTCTCAGCCCCAACCCCAAGTTAGAGGATGGATTCTCCGCTTTCAAAAGACTCCACATGACTGCCAAAGACCTGGGACAGCCTGGCTTTTTCCCATCACAGGACCCTGTTACTGCAGCACAGAACTGCACATTCACCAGTGTCTGCCCCTCGGCATACCCAGCTTCCAGCTCTCTGTATCTGGCCCAGGGGGATCCAGTCTGGGTCCACCAGGTGGCTGACTTTCCTTCTCTGCTGGAGCCAGAGCGCCAACCTGCTCCAGAGGTTGGCAAAGGCTACTTCCTACTGCCCGGCTATCTCTGTCCTCATCGCCATACCATTAAGTTCCCCATTTTGAACAGATGGGGACCCCTGATGCCATTTTACCAGTAGGAAGGATGAAAACACCATCCAATGGCCCATGGAAATCCTTCCCTCTCACAAGGAAATCTCTGCTCCACCTTTGGAATACAGAAGGGAGAAATGAAAATAAAACTCTGGGAAGATGTTCTAGCAGTACTGGGACTGGATTTGCTCTACGGAACTCCCTAGTCTACCTTGAGACACAGCATCGCCACTACAGAGGAAGCAAGGGGTGGAGGAGAGGGAAAGAGAGATGAAGGAAGAGAGGGAGAGAGTGAGGGGCAGAGAGAGAGAGAGAGAGAGAGAAAAGGAGGGAGGGAGGGAGGGGGAGAAGGAAAATTGGTATGTAAGGGAGGCTGAAATGTGCGTTGTTTATTATTTTTTTTCTGAAGATTTATTTTATTTATTTATTTATTTATTTATTTATTTATTTATTTATTTATTTATTTATTTATTTATACAAGCACTGGGTACAGTCAGAAGCGCGGGAGGGTGAGAGAATTCACCAGAGCCAGAGCGGGGAGCAGAGCAGGCAGAAGGACCGAAGGACACTGCTGAGGGGAGCAGCGGGCGGCAGGAGAGGTCTGCGCGCCATGTGGGACCCTCCTCCAGTGGCCGGGGAGCAGCCAGGGATCGAACCAGCGCTGCAGAGGCTGTGGGCAGCTTCGCAACCCAGCGCTCAACTGCTGCGCCACCGGTGAGGCCCTTGTGTTGTTTATTATAATTAAGACTCCTACTCTAAAGATTCTTAGGTATTTATTTACAAAGTGTAAAGATCACCATTTCCCATAGTCATTTGGATGTTGATTGTGACTGTAAAACTTGATATGCTATTGGATAACTGTTCTACTTAATTCTCTTATTTTAGTTCATCACCCTCACCTTTGTAGCAACCAATAGTAACCATTTAAAGGGCATCATTTCTTCTTGCAACCTTTCTTCTAGCTCAATGGGGCTCTTTGTGAGCAAATCTGTTTAAGAGTTAGATAGGAAATAGCCTAAGCTGCTGTCACAAAGTGGACCAAGGTACAGTAATTTGATCAATGTACTAGTCTGTCTCTCTCCACACAGGAGGGAGGTAGACAGTCTGGGAGGGGAACACATCTTTGCTGTGGCCTTCATCTTTGGGTCCAAGAGGCAGCCGTGGTCTACACTGTATTCCTTCTGAATTTATGTTTTGAAGCCCTAAGTCCCAGTGTGGCTTTATTTGGAGACAGGACCTTTAGGAGGTAATTAAGTTTAAACGAGGTCATGAGTCTGGGTCCCTGATCCCATAGGATTGGTAGCCTTCTGAAAAGAGAAAGAGAAAGAAATCTCATTCTACGTATCTGTCTCTGCCTCTGTGTGTGTGTCTCTCTACATACACAGACACACCTGCACGCATGCAGGCACACACACAGTCTGAGGAAGGGTCCTGTGAGGACACGGACATGGTGAGATTGCAGCCATCTGCAAGCTGGGAAGAGATTCCTCATTGAAAAACAGACTCCCAGGGCCTCCCCTGGTGGCGCAGTGGTTGAGCCCTGGGTTGCAAAGCTGCCCGCAGCCTCTGCAGTATGGGTTCAATCCCCAGCCGAGAGTCCCACATGGTGCACAGACCTCTCCTGCTGCCTGCTGCTCCTCTTAGCAGTGTATTTCGTCTCAGCAGTGTATTTTGTCGGTCTGCCTGTTCTGCTCCCTGCTCTTGCTCTGGTGAATTCTCTCACCCTCCCGCGCTTCTGACTGTACCCAGTGCTTGTATAAATAAATAAATAAATCTTTAAAAAGAAAAGAAAAGAAAAACAGACTCCCAGACCTTGATCTTGGATTTCCAGCCTCCAGAACTGTGAGACAATAAATTTCTATTGTTTCAGCCCCCAGGCTGCAGTATTTTGTTATGATAGCCTGAGCTGACTAAGACAGTCACTGATTCAGTCATGGACAAGTCTGGGTAGTGGAAGCAAGAAACAAATACGAGTGTTTCCCTCTTCGGGACACAGTGCAGAAGTGATATTCCTCACTTTCAGTTATGTTCTCTTGGCCACAACTTAGTCCCACCAAACTGCAAGGAAGACTAGGAAAGTCATTTCAGCTCTTCTCCCAGTTTCTTCCTGGGGAAAAAAAGACTGGATGCCACAATCCTCCCATCTGTCTCCAGCCTCTTGTCCCCTGAGGTCCCTCAGGACTAGTGTGAGAACTGAGAATCTGGAGTGGGTGTGGGGCCGCTGAGATGTGGCAGCCCCCAAGTCAGGTCCCCCACAAACTCTGTCTCACTAAATGCCCTTGGTGACCAATGATTCAGTGCAGCAATCACCCCATTTTATAGGTAAAGAAACAGAGGAGTCAGGTGGTTTGGTCAAGTGACATAGGATTTGAAGCTTAACTTCTTTCTTTCATTAAATCTCACTTCCATGAAAACTTACAACTTTCTCATCTGTAAAATGCAGGTAATCCCACATATCACACAAAGTACACACACACACACACACACACACGCACGAATGTACTTGTGAGCTTTAAAAGATTTTTTTAAAGGTTAATCAACTGTTCCTTTTAATTGCTAATATAAAAGAGAAGGAACTGATACTAGATTTTCCACTGCCAGACTGAGCGCCCTCCCCCACCAAGAAGTCAGCCTGATGGGATGCTTTTGTCATTCCGCAGCCTAGGGAGGGGTCCTGATGGGGAGGCTGCAGAAACAGGACTGGGAGGCTGGAAGATAAAGGTAACAGCCCTTACATGTGTATATTTTCCCGAGTTTACAAAACACAACTGGAGATGCTATCTCCCTAACTGCCATTGCATCTCTGTGGCATAAGAGTTCTTGTTCCCATTTCACAGAGCAGATAAGTAACCCTAAGGCTGAGAGGGGATGCACACCCCAAATTTCAGGGTGCCCTCTGCTGAGCACCAGCTCTGAAAGTGCATCCCATCTGGGCACCCTGGGGAATGCTGATTCATCAACTCCACCCTGAGTGCAGGGAGAGTCACTAGGTCTCCAGAATGCCAAGAATCTGCAATTTTGTGTGGTGCACCTGGGTGTTGTGTTGCTGGTGTTCTGTGGACCACACTTTTAGATGCAGCGGAAGAGGATGCAGGCTTGCTGGAGATTCTTGGAGTTTCACGGTTGACATCTCTCCTGGAAATAAATGTATACCCCAGCCAAGTAGGGTGAAGCAGCGGGCGTGGGCTGGGGGTAGATCAGAGCATGCACCCATGGAGATAATTCAGGAATGTTTGGTTATGTGACCAGTCAGAATGTGTCCATTCATTTCCAAACATCAGTGTATTCCACTTATATAAAGCATATGATGTAGTCAAACCCACAGGTCTGGGAGGAGAGGAGAAATGGGGAGTTAGTGTTTAATTGGCAGAGTATCAGTTTGTGATGATGAGAAAGTTCTGGTGATGGATGGTGGTGAGGATTGTACCACTGAGGAATGTACTCATTGCTACTGAACTGTACATTTGAAAATGGTTGAAATGGGGCCTCCCTGGTGGCGCAAGGGGTTAAGCATCAGCACTATGAAGCTATCTTCAACCTCTGCATCGTGAGTTTGATCCCCGAATTCGATCCCCAGCCAGGGAGATGACCCACATGGCACAGCAGACCTCTCCTGTCTGGCTCATTGCACCCCTCAGCAGTGTATTTCAGTAGATCTGCATGTTCTGCTCCCCACTCTGTCTCAGGTGAATCCTCTCAACACCCCCACCCCGCCCCGTGCAGTTGGCCTGCACTCATCTCTTGTATGCATAAATAAATAAATCTTTTAAAAAATGGTTGAAATGATAAATTTTATGTTACATGTATTTTTTTCTCCACATATAGGAAAGGAAAACTAGATCAGATTTAAAACCAGAATTATGAATTTGAAAAATTACTACATTGCTCCAAATAAGCAAAATTTCTGAGTGGAAAAAAATACCATAAAAAATCAAAAGACAAAAAAAAGAAAAATCAAAAGACAAAAAATAAACTGGGAAAATATTTGCAACGCAAATGTCACACCAAGAATAAGACCAACATAGGGGAAGACTGATTTATTTTTAATTCAGTCATTTGTTCATTTAGCAAATGTGTATTGTTTATGTGCCAAGCACAATTCTAAGTGCTATGGGTATAGAAAAAATAAAAATATAAATGAAATAGAAACTAATAAAATAATAAGGAGAAGACCAGGAGATTCTATATCAGTTGGGAGAAAATGAAAATAAACTAGATAAGGAAACCAGGAAACCTGACCCCATTGACAAGATGGGGCCATGAGCAGAGCAATGTGTACATCTCCCCCAAGTCATGCCTGTCCCCTTCTTCACCCTGCAGCTTGGGCAAGTTGGACCTGGAGGGTGGAATGACAAGAGAGAAGGAGGCTGGATTCCTGAATAGTACACAGCAGTCACATCAGCTCTGGAATGTTCCCTAGGAGAAAAATTAACCACTAGTGTTTCTCAATTTTTACTATACATTAGCATCACTTGGGGAACTTTAAAAACTACACAGGGCTGTCCTCTCCTCCTTAATTTCAGACCTAATCAGTCCAAGGTGTAGCCTGAGCACTTGATCATTAAAGAGCTCCCCAGTCAAGATGGAGAACTGTGGGTTCATGGCACTGTTGATTGGGGTTCGTGTCACACATATCTAAACCTCACACATCCACACTGTAGGGTAAGTGAATTGGTCAGGCTTTTATACCATTGGCCTCTGTGGCTATCACCTGTGGCCTTGCTTGATCTTGTTTACGTAAAAGGCACGTAGGTGTGGGGCACACGTGCTTGACTATGGACACCTGAGCATGGGTGTGCGCGCATGTGCAAGTGTGCACACCTGGGCCTCGAGGTCAAAGATATAAGGGCAGCGTTACTCAGAGATGGTTGGGCTATGAGAGGATGAGCGGTGGCTACGAGAGGGAGACCATGAGAGAATGCCGGAGAAAGCCCAAAGAAGAGTGTATAGAGACTCGCAGGGGCCCGAATTGCTATCTCCCTGGTTTGTTTCCTCTGCTTACCATTATAGCCTGTGAAAATGATGCCACGAGCTCCAAAATTCTCCTTTAAACTGCTATAACTGATGGTGAAATTACCTGGCCTAGGATGGTTGCTAACACACAAGGTGGGTTTTGGTTCTAAAAGCCGTGCCCAGCACTCATACTGCTGTCACTGGACAGCTCTTCAAACCTGAAGCAGGTGACATGCCTCCTCCAGGTGACACCTCATTCAGCCCTTCAGTGGGGTCAGGAGAGATAGACTATAA